GAGGGGGTTAAAGCAAATAATCATAAAGACCCGAGGATGGATTGCGCCTCTCCTAATAGACTGCGACAAACCGGGAGGCTGAGGGCACTGCACGGGCCGTACTGCAGGATTTTTATGCATCCAAGAGCACGCAGCATCGGGCTCGTTTCTAGAAAGAGCTGTTGCTGCAGCAAAGAATTTTTGCCCTTTTCCCCCTTTTCTTTTTTCTCTCTCTTGAAACCATCCAACATACAACCCAACCCAAAGCCACCTGTTTCGGTGAATTAGCTCAAGCGTGACACCCCGGGTTCGCTCGTTCTTTCCGATGCTTATTTACGACTCAATTTTTTTAATCGAGCAAATCTGCATTTTTCAGGCTGGAAGCTGCGGCGGCGCCTTCCCGGGAGCTGTGTGGCGGTGGGGGGGGGCGGGGGGACACACGACGGGGGAATGGGGACACAAGTTAGCAGAGGCAAGGGACAGCAGCGCCGAGACAACGGGCGCATCCGCACGCGTCCCATCCATCTTCCCTTTTGGTGCAATAACAAGTGTAATATGCAAAGCGTCCTTCAAACCCGCCAGATCAGAAGGTGCTTTTTGCTGGTGACTCGGAACCGGGGCTCAAATTAAAAGAAATTAAGAGCTGGTGGGTCTTAACACGCTTGCAGGGAAAAAAGCAAAGAGATTTTTTTTTTTGCCCGCGTAACCGCAGGCACACACACACGCCTTCCCTGTCACCGCTCCCCATTCCGCTCCGTAACTAAACCTTAAATAAAATTTCTCAACGGTTTTGCTAACGATACATGTGTTCTTGGGTTTCTTTCCGAAACCCCTCAGCTCTCCTCCAGCCCAAACGTGACTCATTTCCAACATGACAAATCTCGGCGATGCCAAAACGCCGCCGAACAAAGGAGGAAGCGAGCGAAGCGCCGCTGTTTTCCGAGGGAGACAAAATTTGCAGCATCGTTTTGCATCGCACCATAAAACGCCTGGTGGAAGGGGGGACGGGGGGAGAAAGGGTGGGCACCGATACTTTGTCATGTTTCTGGCCCAAAACCACCCTGGCTTTTAACATACTCGGCTGCCAAGCCCGCTCGCCCCTTGCGACGCGGTGACGAGCCGTTAGCAGATGAAAATAGGTGGGTTACGGTAAACCGAGAAAAATAAATCAGGTTTTTTTGTGAGGACAGAGGAGCAGCAGCCGGTTTCGGATGAATATTTAGCAGGCGGGCGGCCACAGCTCCGGCGGCGACTCGAAAACATGCAGAGACGAGGCAAAAAAGGGAGAAAATTCCCAATTCTCCAACTTAATTTTGTACGAAAGAAATGGGGAGAGTTTTAGGTCAATGAGGGAAGAGGTAGGGAATGGGGTCACATTTCTCTCCCCCCATTCTCTCCCTGCCAGCCCCGGCACCACTGAATTTATTTTAATCTTTCATTTTGCTCCATCGCAGGATTATTTTTTTTTTTTTACACTTTTTTTTTTTTTTTCTAGGGCACTTTTCCTGCTTTCGGTGTGCGTTACAGCTCTATTTAACATCTTTATGTGGTCTCACTAGCTTGGGAGCTCTCTCTTTCTCTGCACAGAAATGCTCACAGACACAATATATCTTTCTACATACATTTCCAAACGCCGAAACCTAGAGGCTGAGTCTGGCACTTCAGTTCTAAATCATGTCATTTTACACAGAGAAGAAAAGCAGGGGGGGAGAAAGGGGGAAGAGTAGGGGAAAAAAAAAAATGGAATGAGTTAAAGCCACAGCACTGGCTTTAATATTTAATCTCCTTCCATCAGCAGCTGACATATAGCAGTGTTATTTCAGCCTGCTATTTTGCGGGTGTCTGAATTAAAAAGAAGATGTAGACTGTAAACTCTTTGGGGCGAGGGACAGGCGCTGGGATAACGCTGCTGCCTCCGCGCTGCAAACCGGCCCCGAAAGCGGCGGCGACCCTTCACGCTGCAACGGCGAAGGGCTGCAGAAAACCAAGAGTTTAAACAGCACACGCAGCCCCGATTTTTGCTTTTCTCTCCTCTCACCATGGCCCTACGGCTGCCTTCGGGGCAGGGGATGGAGCACACGGATGGCATTTGGGGTTTGGGTGTAAACACGGGGATGGGTTTATTTATCCCAGAGACTGTAACAGTTTTTTGGAGAAAACAGATTTGAGGCAGACTAAGGCTGGCCAGTCTGCATTCTTTACTCAACAGGCTGTGACAGCTCGATGAATAAATGTGCTCATTTAAAAATCTTTATTTAATAGGACACAATACTTCCAGCTGGACCAACGCGCCATCTCCATTAAAGCAAGAGCCAGAGAATAAATGCAGTAGGCTGAAGCCTGGATCTTTAGTCAGAAGGAGATTTTTCCACCGGTTTAATATGCACGACATGAGAAACAAGGGGTTGCTCAGGGTTTTTCCTTGCTTTTGTAAAGCCTACAACTGCGTTCGATGCCAAAGGAGGGTCAGGCAAGCCCCGAGCCCACCACATCCAACCCTCCGGCCGTGCAGGAGCCCGGGCGCTCGCCGGCTCTCCCGGCAGCTCCAGCTCACGAGCTGCACAGCTATTTTTTAACCTTGACAGTAATTTTCAGAGAACATAAACACCGGCTGCACACCGAGCCAGTCACCTAACCAAAAATTCAGTTTTAATATAGACCGGGTGTAGGCTGCGCCAGCACAAACCGTTCCACGGGCGCACGCTTGCACAAATGAAGCTTTACCTTGCCGAAAGCACAAGCTCTGGGAAAGTCTCACCCGACCTGAAAGGGGTGAGGAGCCAAACCTGCCTCCATCCAGCTCATCACACGGCTGAATTAACAAGCTGTCATTAATACGGAGGAGCCGAAACGCTGCTCCAACCTTAACTCCAGCACCGCGGGGTGTATTCTGCCCACGGACACCACGGTACTGCCGTGACACGGTTGAAACACCTGGATACCAGGGGAAACAAAAGAAAACAGCACGTGTCTCACAACTGCAGTGCTGGAGGGAAATGACTGCGCTAAGCGCTCCAGCGTGGATAAGCTGAGCTCAAAGTCACCGACTTTAAAAGGAGCCACAACAGGTTTGGCTTCTGAAGTGGGGCCGGTGGCTGATGCCCCACAGCCAGCGATCAGCCCGGGGCGAGGGGGCTGGGGGGGTGTCCTGGGGGCTGCTTTGCTCCTCTCCTTCACGGGGAAACCTTCACGAACACCCAACGGGAGCCAGGAGAGAGCAAGGCCAAGGGCACAGGGAGATGCTGGACACCCTGCAGGCATCCCAGCCCATCCAGCGCCCGAGGCAGCGCATCCTCCCCGCGCTTCCCGGCTGCGGCAGAACCCGCTGCCTACGCCCCATCCATCCATCTCGCCCTGACAGGGCTCAGATGGATTTCTAGCCGTGTGGCAGGCGGGATAGATATTCCCCGTTCAACTTGGCACAACTGCAGAGGTAACTAATGCAGGGTCACGGGTGCCCCCGAGGGCTGGGTGCCCAAAGGTTAGCTGTTACAGCTGTGAGTGATGTGACCCCCCAGTTCTCGCGCAGATCTGGGCTCCATCTCACCCATTTCCCATCTGAGCAATGACAACGATAATTCCCTCCCTTGCAGAGAGGCTGTAAGGATTAATTCGCTAATGTGCATAAAGTGCCCCGATACTGGAGTGATTCATAGATTTTAAAGGCCGGGGGGACCATTACAATTATCTGCCCGGGACCACGTGAATCCCCAGATGGGCCCATTTCCATAGGAAAGGAGGTGTCACCGCGAAGACTTGTTGGTTTGAAAGAATGCAACAATAGTAGGGCCAAGCCGTCTGATTTTTACACTGACGAGAGACGACACGCAAAGATTTCAAACCCGTTTCCTCTCGGAGGGTTCCCCAAAAGGCAGCGCTGAGCAGGCCAGGTTTCAGAAGAGCTCGGAGCCCAGTTGCTCCCACGGAAAAGCTTGTGGCTGTGTTTTTTCGAAAGCAGCCAAGGCACCGAGTCCGTGCAGCTTGAAGGTGGCCGCAGCAGCTCCGGTTACCGAGCGCTTCTGGAAAGCTGGTTTCAGTGGCAGCATCCTTCCGCTAGAGGAGGGAAGAGACAGCACCTCCGCCAGCCTGAGCGAGGATAAATGAGAAGAAGAGTGAAGGTTTACGAGTGATCAGCTCAAGAACACAAAAAAAAAAAAACATAAAAAGAAAAAAAAAACCCAACAAGCAGCTCGTGTGTTGCATGTATTCAGAGAACGCTCTGCCACTCCTCGCTCCAGCACAAAGACCTTCTGCAGGAGGGGGAGCGGCTGCCGGGGGGGGGGCTGCGAGTGCAGCGCAGGCTTTAGAGAGAGAACGCCCCTGAGCCAAGGTCAGCCCAGCCCGAGCTGGGGAGAAACAAAAACCCAAAAAAAGGGGTGAGGGGTGATGGCCACGGCCCCGTCAGCCGGGGGCCGTCAGCACAGCGGCCGCTCCAGGTCTGCCCGGTGCCCTTCCCCGGCCACAGGCAGCAGGAAAAGCTTATTTCTCCTCACTCAGGTCCTGTGAAAAATCCGAAAGGCCGCAGCCAGCTCAGTCACCTTGGGAAGGAGCAGGCTTGGATGCATTTTGTGCAATGCCCCCCC